AACTATACAAATGTTTTCAAAGAGGACATAGAAAAATATATTGAGGGTATAGAGTTTGTGAGATGTCATTGGACAGAGTTGTATGAAAAATATAAAGACAAGGAAAATGTTTTCTTTATAGTGGACCCGCCGTTCTATAACACATGGGATTTTCAATACCAAGTAGACTGGACTTTGAGAGACTCTTTAGAAACTTTAGACGTTATACATAACCATCCATGCTTTTACTTTACATCCGATAAAAGTGGTTTGGAAACCGTTATGAGATGGTTAGAAGACATACATGACTATGAGTTTAGATATGACAAGATAGAGTATGAGAGAGGTCCCATAAACTGGAGAAAGTGTCATAACAAAGAAATTTTATTAGTAAGTAAATGTGGTTTGAAATAGGACTACTTGTTTTAGGTTTTTCCATTGTGTCATTTATTTATTTGACGTGGCAGAAAAGTACAGAGAATATGAAGATGAACCAATGCCTGCAAATGTTCAGCACATGTACTCGTAAGAGATATTTTTATCTAATATTAAATGGACGCACAGAACTTAGCGAATGCACAGCAACCTGGACAACCAAACCCAGAGAATATTCCAAATGAAGTTAGAATACAAACTGCAATGGCAAACTATGGTCAAGTGCCAACAGATGTACAAATGCAAACTGCCATGTCAAATGACGCTGCGTTAGGTTTGCCACCATGGTATGCAAATATGAGATGGAAAGAGTTTTATACAAACCCTGAAGTGGGATATAAACAACTTTATGCAGATGACGCGAACACAGGAGTTGACCCAGAATATGTTTTCTACCAGAGGAGAAACAGAATGTATGAGCTCCAGTTAAAGAATGCTATGGAACTCAACAGGAAACGCAAAAGACTAGGTGGACATTAGATTTTTACACGTAGTAAAATGGGTTTCTTCAGTAGTATTGGAAACTTCTTCAGAAGAGTTGGAAGAGGTATATGGAATGGAATAAAATCTGTCGGAAGAGGAATTTGGAACGGTGTCAAAAATATTGGTAAAAGAGTAGGTCAGTTCGTTGGTATTATACCTAAAGACCCTGAACCAGAAGAACAAGCCCCTGTTATACAACAACCTGAACCTGCACCACAGTCTAGTTGGCAACCAAATCCAACACCTCAACCGTATTAAAAAATTATATTTTTAACGTTCGATAGTAGTTGTATATGAAACTAAGTTCTAAGTAAAACGCATGGTATAATGGAATTATTCTTTTTCTTCCATCTGTAGTAAACCATACTTGAAAGTCTGAAATACTTCCACTCGGCGGTTCATATAGCTTTGTAGGTTTTTCGTAAAAGTCATTTGCCAAGCATAAGAAAGAGTTTTGGGCGCCAGAAAATGAAGCATGAACAATAATAGCATCTTGGTCGAAAACATCTTTAAATAAATATGGTTCATCTCTTGCATATCGACTGTAAATATTTGCTAAAGGAAGTTCAACTTTCTGATTTAACATTCTTTGCAAATAATACCATGACATTGCAGTGAATTCTGTATATATTTGTTCGTCTTTATTTGGATTGTTTTCGTAGATTTGAAATGACACTTGTGAATTTTGTTTGTCATATACAATTCTCACATAAAGTGTGCTCTCGGTATTTGCATATTCATCAGCATATTTTGCATAACATGAATTTATTTTATCTTCTATATTTTTTAACGCAGTCTGTAGAGAAGATGAAAGGTCAACTTGTATTAGCTCAATTTCTTCCCACATTTTTCGTTTCCCTTCAGATATATAATCTATATGAAACCTTACAATAAATGGAAAACTTTTATCTTCTACAGACACAAATTTTATTCTTCGAAAGCCAATAGATTTAGTAACAGATGGGTCTCTTAACCATCTTAATGGGTAGTCAAAACGATAGCCTTCATGCTTTATAGTATCTAAGTCAAACTTTTGACCGACATTAGTAAAAAGTTCATCTAATGGTTTAGTTGTAGCAACTCTTGAATTTTCTTTTTCTATTGGAAGCATATTTTATCTATAATAAAAATGTCAAATGAAACAGCGTCTATGAGAGAAATACAACACAACCGACAACTCATTATGCAAGCTCTAAATAAGAACACAACAAACTTTTCAAACTATGCTAAAATATCTGAGTCATTGAAAGAAGGAAACCTAAAACTGACAATAAACCCTATGACAGATGAGTTTCTATTTCAAGACAATAAAAACAATACTGTCTGTATAAATCCAACAAAAGGAAATTTAAACGAGAAACCTATAAATGAACTTCTTTTGAAAGCAGATGTTGACAACAAAGCTGACAAAGAATATGTCATTGAAAAAGTTCAAGAAGAACATGACAGAGCAGATGCAACATATGCAACAAAAGAGGATGTTGAAAATAAAGCTGACAAAGAAACTGTAGATATGTTGGCACAAACGGTTTCAAGTCATGACAGAGCTTTAATGGAAGATGGACAACAGTTGAAAGAGCTTGAGAAAGGTGTTACAGAGTTAAGGAATACAAAAGCAGACTTGACATGGATAACTGGATATGTAGATGCAACAAAAGAATATATTTTCGCATGGACAGATAGAACATATCCACAAAAACAGCATACACATTCTATATCTGATATTACAAACTTACAAGAAACCTTAAACAGGAAAAGTGACGTTGGACATACACATTCTATATCTGATATTACAAACTTACAAGAAACCTTAAACAGGAAAAGTGACGTTGGACATACACATTCTATATCTGATATTACAAACTTACAAGAAACCTTAAACAGGAAAAGTGACGTTGGACATACACATTCTATATCTGATATTACAAACTTACAAGAAACCTTAAACAGGAAAAGTGACGTTGGACATACACATTCTATATCTGATATTACAAACTTACAAGAAACCTTAAACAGGAAAAGTGACGTTGGACATACACATTCTATATCTGATATTACAAACTTACAAGAAACCTTAAACACTAAAGCAGATAAAACATATGTCAATGAAATATACCAAAGTTTAGTTGGAACAAAAAATATTGAAACTATTGTTGGTGACTTTTCTGTCAATGAAGAAAATAAATATTTTAGATGGCAGTTTGTACATTCCTTAAAAAATGGTATACGGTATAAACTCATTCCGAAAAATAACAATGAAATGTATGTAAGCTATATAAAGAATAATGGTACACAAGTTAAAGTTCCATTAGACAACAACTGCTACTTAAACTTATATGGAGACGAACAAAAGAAATATTTCCGAGTTTATGAAATGGCAGATATGATATTACCTGACCCAGCTCCGGCACCACATTATTATGACTATGGAGATGACGACAGAACACCACATGTAGATGAACAAAAGCTAACCTTATATTTAGAATATTATAGATATAAAAGATATAATGCAATAGAAAAAACGAGAATAGTATATTATTATACAGATGACAGAAATAAATATTATAGTCAAGATTTTACCTACCCTGAAAACATCAGATTATATTATAAAAAATATTCTGACACAAACCAGAAGAAACCCGAAATAGTTGCACTATATTTTAAGTTCAAAAGGGACAATCCTATAATATCTCATATGTTTGATTTAATGAACCCGGTAGGTTCTATTTATACATCTATGGATGTGAGAGGTCCTCAAGTAATGTTTGGTGTTGGTGTATGGGAACAAATAGTCGACAGGTTTTTGTATTGTGCAAACTCTTTAAAGGAAACAGGTGGAAGTAAAACGATTTCAGGTGCAAATTTACCTGCACACAGTCATTACATAAGATTAACTACATCTCAAGCAGGTTGGCATAAGCATAGATATTGGGATTGGACAGGAATGACAAAAGGTCAAAGATATGATGTTAAAGACGACGTTAAGTTTGCTATAAATTGTTACTGGGATGACACGCAGGGAGAAGGAATCCATACACATTTCGTTACAGGATATACGCAAACAACGGGACAAAGTAAAGACTGCATGCCACCTTACATGACAGTTTACGCATGGTATAGAATTGCTTAGTCGTCATTTTCAACTTCTTTAGCATATTCGTCTGGAGTTGTCTTATATTTGTTAGGAACTGTTTTTGAAAGTATACCACCTTGAACTTTGACAAGTTTGAAACGAGGTCTGACAATAGTATTTTTATCTTCTGCTTGCAGTGTGTACATTTTGCCATGTTTGCCTAAAACTTCATAATATTCTCTTGTATACTTTCTTCTATTTTTACGAACACGAATGTGAGTACCTGTCGGGTTCCCATTGTTGTCATAGTCAATAGTATTTTCATATGGGTCGCGTTTAGGTATTTCTATTTTTACTTTGTCACCTTTCTGAAGTTTGAAGCCCGGCATTCTTTCTTGTTTGTCTCTTTTGACTAAATTATTAAATATATAGTCTTTCTCTAAGTCAGGGTTGTTTTTCATTTCTTCGGGGGAGTGGTTTCCCAAACCTTTTTGTTTACGGTTATTGTAAATATTTAAAACTTGTCTCATCTTTGCCATGGAGAAGTGTCTATACTTGTCGTCATATGACATTTCATTTGCTTCACCACCTTGTGGTTGGTTTAAGTCTCTTAACATTTTTATACATCCGTCAATGACACCAAGAGCAGAATGGTTTTGGTCGACAATGAAATATTGGTTTACATTTTTTGAACGCAGATAGTTTTTTACATCATCTGATTTGAAAGAACTTTCACAGTCAGATGTCAGTTTTGTTGGATGGTATTTGTCAACGAATATTGTCAAAGCAGTTTTCACATCTAAAATATTTTTGGACCATAATGGTATGGCTTCACAGTATCTTGTGTTTTGACCAACAAATATTAACCAGTATGGTGGTCCATCTTCTCTATACCTCGGAATGTTTTCCAAGATATCCATAAACCAAGCATTTGGTGTTGAACTAAAGATTTTTATCATGAGTGCTTTCTTTGTCGCTTTAGAAACATAGGGGTCCTTGTTTGGATTCGTCATTTTTTAACCCATAAGAAATGGGTTTATTTGGCGCATTAGCAGGAGTTGCATCCAGATTTTTGCCCGCAGTGGGAACAATAGCCAGAGGTGTATTTGGAGTTGGAAGGAAGATTTTGAGTACATTAGGTATACTTAAAGAGAAAGCACAACCTATTATACAAACTGTACAGAAAGGTTGGGATGTAGCACGAGATGCAACAAATCTTATTCCAAATCCTGAAACAAGAGGAAAAGTTCAAGGATGGATGGACAATGTAGGAAGACAAGCAGGAAATTATTATAACAAAGCAAATGAATACTATAACCAAGCAGGACACTATATGTTTTGTCGGCTTCCAGCATTTAAACCACGTGTTTGTAAAGTTCTTCCTATACCTCAGGAAGTTTTAGACCGACTTCAAAAACCTCAACAACCAGTTGAAAACAAACCAAATTAAAATTTTTTACTGAGATGAAATGACCGAAGAAGTTGAAACGGTAGATTTGACACCACAAACAAAAAGTTCAGAACCTTTGTCAAAACCTGTCAAAGAACTTACAGATGAAGAGAAAAATTCAATAATAGAAAGTGCCAGATCTGGTAACTCAAATCCTAACTACAAAGTCACTTTTCATAAAAATGGAACGGCAAGTATCTCAAAAAAGAAACAGACTCTCACAAATAAAATATTGAAGTCTGAAGGAGCTTTCGAGACAACAGATGGGAAAGTTTACTTCACTGACCAACAGTTCATTATAGAACATCTCATTGACTTAGAGTCGAAATATTCTAAACTTTACAACAAACACAAAAAGTTGAAAGGAAAACAAAAACAAATGGCATATGATATTTATGAAGATGTTGACGACACAACTGTTCCTGCAAGTGAAGTAAAGTCAGAGGAACCGAAAAGTGACAAAAAACCGATAGAAGAAGAAAAACCAAAAACTGAAGATAAACCAAAACCAAAGTTTAGTTTCCAAACTAAACCAAGTCAACATTCATTAGCTGGTATGGGTTGGCGTCAAAGACTTATGGCAGCAGGCGGTTATGTAAAGTAAAGAAAAAAACATATTTTTTTTATTTTTATAAAAATGCCCCCATATAGAATGGATAGAAAATCTGCTAGAATAAAAGCAGAGTTACAAAGATATGGTTGGAGAGTTTCGAAGAATTTTAAATATAGGAAAGGAAGACCCATAAAAGTCTATGACAAATTGTCTGGTCTTCGCTACGAAATGGATTTGAAAACAGCACGTGCCAATTATCCAAACAGACTAGAGAGGTTAGAAGAAGAACGTCTTATGGACATGCCTTTCGATGTTAGTGAACCTCAAGTTGAAGGACACGACGGCTTTGCCAGATTCTATTGGAAACATGACGAACAATTGCATCCTTTGAGAAGGAAAAAAGGAAAAGGTGAAGACGCACATGCTCCCATGGAAAGAACAAGATATTCATATGAAAAGTATCGTGAAGTTAGAAGTCAAATTACATCTGGTCGAACCTTTACAGTAAACTTTGACGAAGGAAAGAACAAAGAAGGCTTCATGGGTGTACTTGCTGCAATTCAAGACGGAAATAAGAAAGGACACAATCTCAGATTGACCATAACAGATTTGGATGGTCACATTTACTATGCACATGGCAATGAACAAACAGCCGCAAAACTTCTTGACGCTTTCAAAACTTCAAAGAGAGAACAAATGGTTGACTCCGACTCAGACATTTTGAATGCAATTGAAGGAATTGCAAGTGTCAAGTTCGAATGGTACCAACCTAACCTCAAGCAGTCAGACAACATGCTGGATACTTCCCGTTCATAAATAAGTCTGACATTGACTTGACAAGGTATGGAATTTACAATTCAATTGAAACAATTGTCAACGAACCTTGCATTCTTACATGTCTCAGGAACTCTGGTCTTGTTACAGATGAGAAGATGAAGTATCTTGAGTCATGTGTGAAGACAAGGTACATTCTCAGAGGTCAATTGGCAAAAATTGCACCGTTGGCAAATGTCAATATCCGAGTCAACATACCTACAGCTAAAGGTTCTTCACATGACGACTATGTTGTTGACAAATTACCATGGTTGAAGATTGTAATTGTCCACAACCACTTCATGTTGAACGAAAGTCTTACAAACCCATTGTTCGGAAAAGGCAAGTGCAACATTGTCAGAGCTGTAAACATTCTTTTCGAGAAAGGTTTGTTGGAACCAATTCCAGATGACAAGCTGACAGAAACTTTTGTACCAAAAGACGAAACAAACTTTTCATTGTTAGCAAGACCAAAAGTTGTTCCAGACAAAGTTCTAGTACAAAAGAAGTACACAGTTCCACAAGGGTTGGTATGTTCGGATACCAACCTGAACCAGAAGAACTTCCAATGAGGTTGCAAGAACTTCAAGATGCTATAAACAAACTTCCATTGAGACATCCAATTGACGTCAAATTGTATTGGAGAGCATCTGAGTTAGGTCAGAAGGTTTTATATGAAACAGGTTGCTTCGACGATGTTTATGAGATAACAGGAGAAGTTTCTCAGAAGATAAGAGACTCACTTGAATTTCCACAAACTGGACCAATTGGTTGCGACAAGTTCGACTCAAACGAAAAGATATACTATGTCGACCTTAACGCTGCGTACATGAGGTTTGTCCAATATATTCCGACTGGAATTCCAAACGAAGATGGTGAGTTCCCGGGAAGGAACTATACAGTTGGAAAAGTCATACAACAACTGTATGATATTAGGAAAGCTTCAAACCCCAAACTTGCAATGACACTCAAATTGCTTATGAATTCGACATGGGGATATTCCATTAAGAAACCTCAAGAGATGAAGAGTAAACATTATGAGAAGGTCGACAACTTGGTTGAAAGGTTTTCTCCTTTTGTTTTGAAGTACGAATTCACTCAAGGTCAAAGTGGCTTAGTAACCACATTAAAACCTATTGTCGAACATTGGTCTTACCCTCAGTTCGCAAAAGCAGTCCTTGACGAGTACAACAAATTCTTCTCCGAAGTCAAATCGAAAGTTAAGGTTTACTACGAGAACATTGACGCACTCATGACGAACGAAGAAGGATACAACAAACTCATTGAAATGGGTATGGTCGGTGAAAAGATGGGCTGTTTTAAGCTAGATAAGGTATTTTCAGAAGTTCATGTAATATCGAAAAGGAAATATTGGGGCATACTTGAAGACGGCACAGAAATAAAACATTGCATGAAGTAAAAACGTTTTTCAAAAAAAAATTTTTTATTTTATTTGAAATGTACGCTGAGTTTGTTGGAGAAGACCGTTGGGAAACTTATTTGTTAGATGAGAAATATGAAATTCACTGTTGTGAGTCATTTGAAGTCAGAAACAAAAAGACAAAAAGAGTTTTAAGCGAAATGACGGATATGCTATTATGAAGATGGGTGTAAAACACTATCTTAAACATGTTGTCATTGCAACTCATTTTATACCGAATCCTAACAATTTACCTTTTGTAGACCATATAAACCATATAAGAAACGACAATAGACTTGAAAACTTACGTTGGGTCACTCGTTCTGAAAACAATAAGAACAAAGGCAAATTTGGAGATATTGTATTCGAATTTGTCGACGAACTAGAAGATGAAACAATTGAAATTACAAGTATATTTTACTAAGGCAGGCTATGCTTATGTAAACACTAGAGATACAGATGGAAAATACGTTCAAATACTTCTTAACAAATTCAAGAAGCTATATGGCATACCATTTTAAAACAATATATTTTTACATATATTAAATGCTTCAGGTTGAAAAACAAAGAACAAAAGTAGCAGATACAAAACCGTTAGACTATATCTTTACAAATGCGGGTAGGACTATTTCAGATGAAGAAATTTCATCCCGAGCATACAGGTTTGACTATCCAATTCGTTGGCTTCAAAGTCCTTCAGATGCAAAGGCAATAGGATTTAGAAGAGTTTTGTTTTCAAATAGAACTAACGCATTTATGTTCGCAGTATATTTTCATGGGCAGTATAAAGGTCCTGATGGTATAATAGACAAATTTGACGAAATGAGAATCTTTACAATTCGTTCAGACGAAAGTCTTGAAAAAACTCTAAATGACTTTCAAACTCAAATGAACAAATATTATTGGGAATTTCAAGAAAAATACGACTCTTTACTAAATGGAACATACTATCTGAAACTAGAATATGACAAGATGAACTCCACCGTTTCATTTCAAAAGATTGAAATTAACCCTCCAAGAGATACAGAGTTTTTATTTTGGGAAGTAGACAAACGTTCTTGGGCACAATTTCTTCGGTTACTAAACCAGAACGAACCATTACCACCAGATGGTCCATTTAAATTTATACTTCCACCAGCAGATTTGATGGTTTATAGAAACGTGTTTGACCCTCAAAATGTTATGTGTCATGCAAGTTTCAGTTCAAGCAACAATAGTTTTCTATGTATTGGTAAGGACTTTTATGACTTTGCTTCTAAATTCTACGAACCACCTAGTAACAGTTTCTCTGACTTTCAAGTTTGGTTCACAACAAATGGTGTGCAACATATTATTCCATTGTACTATGACTTTTATCTCGAATTGTCTTTCATATATAACTACGGAAAAGTGCTGAAAAAGTATTGAAAAATAATGTTTATGTTAGCATGTTAGATCTAACACGTTTTCTAACCACTTTTCTAGCATCGTAGAAAACTCATGAAAACAATTTATTTTTGACACTTTCACAAAAAAAAATAAAAAATAAAGTTTATGTTAGCATGTTAGATCTAACACGTTTTCTAACCACTTTTCTAACATAACTATTTACAAGCGTTTTACATGGTATATGTTGCGATGGTTCATGACTTTAAACAGTTTTGTAGCTTCTATTTCTTCACGAAGAATATCAAAAATTTTAACTATGCCGAAGGTTTCTTTATACTTCTTCTTGACATCAGATAATAGGAAATCGTCAGCTGTTGGATAGTTTTTGTTCAGAAATGCTAACATGTCCATTTTATCTTCTGCTGGTTTCTCTACTTCTTTCTTTAAGTCAGCATAGTCGTTTCGCATACGTTCTATCTCTTTGACGGAGTAGTTATATTTCCTTATTGCTGCTTTACATTTTGAACATTGTGGGTTCATTTTTGCGTTATACATTGAAATTTGACCTGCTAGAACAACTAAGGCGTCAATGGTTTTCTTTAACTCAGAATATGTAGGTCTGATTTGTTCGTTCCATATTTTACATCTTTTATCTTTATCTCTTATCTGCCATACACATTTTGCAACTAACGAAACAAAGTTGTCGTAGGTCTTAAATTCTTCAGATTTATATATGTCAGAAACATTCTTATATACCATATCGCAATCTTTGTCCATAACCTTATGGTTGCAATGAAATCCAAGAAACTCATAATTTACTTTACGTATGAACTTCTTTATTTCTACTGAGTCGGTTGTTTTTACTTCTATTTCATCGAACTCAGGAATAGTGAGCTTTTGTTATTGGATTTCGGGTAGTTTAGGTAAATGTTCCACCAGGTCCTGCATGTCGTAAAGATACTGTTCATTTTGTTCATCTTTCGCACAACAGTCCAAAGTACTTGTTAAAAGTTCTTGCTTTATCTTCTGGATTTCTGTCTCAAAAGTATATGAAGAAGGAATGAAGCTTTTCATCTCAACTAACATAGATGTTGGATTCATAACTAAAGAGTTTAGTGAAGTTGTTGTTTGAATTGTTGTTGTGCCGATTGTTGAAATCATATCTTTTATACAAAATAAAAAAATATTTTATAAAAAACTAACTTTATTTTTTCTATCTTAAGGAAATTCACGAGAATTCATGAGTTTTGTGTGTTTTAGACCATGTTAGAAAAGTGGTTAGAAAACGTGTTAGATCTAACATTCTAACATAAACATTATTTTTGCTGAATTCAGCACAAAATTCTGAGTAAAATGGCATATGGCATGTGTCAAACCGTTGAGTTTTCACAAAATTCCAAAAATAAAGTTAGTTTTTTTATAAAATATTTTTTTATCCGGAATATAAAGACAGATATGTCAACAACCGAGAACACAACAACAGTTATAGTCCATGAAGCTATAAATGAAGAATATGAATGGATACAATATAACAAACAATTGCGTCTAATTCATTCGGTCAAAGACGATATGTACCAAATGCAAAGTATTTTGACTGCATGTTTTGCTCCAGACACTAAACACGCAGACGATTGGTTCAAAAACCAAAGCACACAAGAACTTTTGAGTGAAATTTCTCTAGACCGAGAATTCTCGGTCTTGCATAAAACACATGAAAATCGTAAAAATTTGCCAATAAATTTAAGAGGATATTATGTACATAGACTATTAGTAAATGCAGTTGCAATGTGGGCTTCTCCTCGTTATGCAATCTACATACTTATGCTACTTGACGAACTTTGTACAAAGCAGAGAGAAGATATGATGAAAGAAGACAAAAGCATACAGAAAAGAATACCACGTTCGGTACCAAAAGGAAAGGAAAAGAACTATAAGTATATGATATATACTGAAGAGTTGGAGAAAGAAGAAGACAGAGATATGGTTATGTTGCATTTAGTCAGAAGAAACAACAAAAGCTTTTACGACCTTGCTAAGATTTACAAATCTGACAGAAATTGGTTCTATCGCGAAAACTTACCGATTTCAATGACTCCAAATGAAGATGTGAAACAAATAGTTCAAGATACTTTACCTCAAACACACTATGATATTAAAGGTTGTACAATTTTTACCTTCAAAGAAGATTTGCCATTGTTAAAGGAAAAAATAACAGAGTATTTTGACAACTTCAAACAAGTAGGGTAAATGCACTCTTTATTTTTACGCTTGACTTCAGATGGCTCAGGTAGCTCAATGAGGTAAATTGCCTCGTCAAATCCTTCTGGCATTCCGAGTCCTTCCATCCGACAGGAAAAAATTTTCCCGACAACTGGAAAATATTTTCCCGACAACTGGAAAAAATTTTCCCGACGACAGGAAGAACGCTTCCAGTTGTCCGTCCGTAAACCATTCAAATTTTCGAAAATTGAGAACTTTTTGGTCGAACTTCAGAAAAAATTTTCCTTCCGACAGAAAAAGTTTTTCCATCCGACAGGAAAAAATTTTCCCGACAACTGGAAAAAATTTTCCTTCCGACAGGACACAAACAGATGACTGACGTTCCTCTTCCTGAATGCCTTCCAAAGCCAGAAGAACCGACAGCCCCAGCACCACAACAGACTTACTAAGACTAAACATTTATTTTTCAAGCTTGACTTTTTACAATTTGAACTTTGTTTGCGTAGATATGAATTCTGAAAGAAGTATGAGGGTCTTGTATGACTTTATACTTCTCCCATATTTCATGTCTGTCAAACTTACCTGCCATGGACTCTTTCATAAGTTCCATGAAATCGTCTTCGGACAATCCGGGGAAAAGTATTATGTCAGTAAGTATTCTTTTAACATCCTTACTTAAACTCTTTGCTGTCTGAACACAAATGACAACTGAAATGTTAAAGTGTCTGAGCTTCTTAAGAATTCGACACATGTCTTGTTCTCTATTCTTTAACAAAGGATGAGAGGCGAAATCATCTAAGATAAGAAGACATCTGTGAGAGTACGTTTTCCAATCGTAAGATTGCAATTTCTTCGAAATGTATTCTATCTCTTTCTGTTTGTTTCTGAAGTGTTTCTTCTCTAATATTCTCTGCATTTCCTCATTTGGGTCTTTAAACTTAGAATTTATATACTCATTTATAGCATTATATTTCAAAACTCTTCTTTGGTACTTCTTTATCCAATCTAACAACTCAGTATCCTTTATACATACTAACTTAGACTTCTTTATAATATCTTTGAACGAATTGACGGTTTGGCCAAATTGACCCGAAGTACTACAAATGACAACTAACTCATAGAATGGGTTCTTCTCATCTAGTTCTTGTTGTTGTGCAGCCATTTTAAGATAAGTGAAAGTCTTACCCGACCCAGGTGGTGCAATTAGACCTGTTATACCATTCTGAGCAAATAAGAACTTGTCATGTATAGGTTTTATCTGAGCATTTTCCAACTTCCTCTTGTTCTTATTTAAAACATTCTCAAATTTTTTGTCAATGTCAGCAAACTTTTTTCTAACATATTTTTAGAAAAATTAAAATTTTTATCTTTTAGAAAATGTCTAGCGATTTCGCTATCTATATTCGAGACAAACTTTTCGACAGCAAAACATCTGTAGACCATAAAATCTTACATAGTGTAAACAAGAAAGGTGAATTTGTTCTAAAGTTCTGTTTCTGGGAATATGACAAGAACCATAAAACATTAAGCAGAGCAGTCTTAAAATTTGTCAATGACAGACTTGTTGACAGAGATGACGCCGATTGGAAAGATGAAGTCCAACAAAAGTTCTTAGAATGCAAAGAAGACACATGCGCTGTTCTTGAAGATGAAATAGAAAACAGAATAGAAGAGCTATTAAAGGACAAAGAACTTTTACAAAAATATGGTTGCGCCAAATTTGACATAACTCCACCAGAAAAGAAGAAGAGAGAAAAGAAAGAAAAGAAAGTAGAAGAAGAGAAGAAAGAACCTGAACCAGAGCCAGTTCCACCGAAGAAGAAATTTAACATGTAAAAATAAAATTTTATTTTTAGAACATTTCTGGGTCAATGTCAATGTTCTCTTCCTCTTTAGGAGCAAACACTGGCTTAGACTCTAAAATCTTTTTACCCAATTTACCTTGAACTTCTACAACTTTAGACTCATAATATTCATAGTCGTCTGTCTTCTTTGGTTCATAAGGTATAACAAGTTTGTATGCTTTGCCTTCTTTAAGGTTTGAAAACCTTCTGTCAAAACTTTCTTTGACTGTTAACAAACCTTCTATGTCTAAGTCTTCAAATTTCGCACCATTTTTAGTCACAATAGCAAACTTAACTGGTTCGATGTTCCAAACTTTGCTGAATGAAGACTTTTCAAAATGGTAGAAGTAAACATTCAAATATGTGAATGGTTCTAGTTCTTCTTTAAGTCCTGACATATACTTGTTTACTGAGATGAATTTTGTCATCTTTTCTTCAGAATAAAAAAATTTTTTTTTTAAATTTACTCAGAAAAATTTTTCTTTGTATATACACCATTCTGAACATCTAAAAGACTTTTGACATTTGCCAAGAATGTACGTTTAGAAGCTGCCATATAACCATATTCTTGACAATATTGTTTATATTCATCATATAAAGACCTTTCATCTAATGACACAAAGTCAGTTTCATCTACGAACAGTTCATAAACACTCTTGTTTGCTTCTAACAATGTTTGTCTCTCTTCGGTATGTGGAATTTGTCTTGGATTGAACTTTGAAATATCTAATGTCATGAAATATGAGAACAAGTGGTTGTAAAAGTCAGATGTCAAACATTCTGACAAAGCGTCAAAATATTCTGTATCTTGCATATGAGAATCTGACGTTCTGACAACTACATATCTTCTGTCAGAACTTTCTAACTTCATCGGAACAGCATTGTTTGAAACCATAATGAAGTTTGCAACATTTTCACAAACTCTTTGGTCTTTATACTTTCTTTCAACAACTCCAACTTTATTTGTTATAAGACTCTTCAAAGCATCTGAGTTTAAAACTTTTGTTGTATCTATACTTTGAAGTTCATTGCAAACTATAAGTTTCATATTCTCAATTGAAGAGTTAAATTTACCGCAGATGTTTTCTAAGTTTGTCATATTCGGATTCGAATAACCTTCTAATAGTTTGCACAAAATATCTGTAAAGAATGTGTTCTTACCTGTTCCTTGTTTTCCAATTATAATGAGAGCAGTTTCATTTTTAGCACTTGGATGTTGTAAGATGTTTGCAAACCAACATAAGATATACTCATAAACTTTTTCGTTTCCATTGCATATAATTTCTTTGACATGGTCTAACCAAGCTTCTATAATATTTTCTTTCCATTCTACTTGTTCATATTTATATCCAGTGAAGATAGAATAGAAGTTTGGAGAAGGTGTATAAAACTTTATACCACGAACTGAAAAATCTTCTAACTTTGACAATAAGATATCCCAAGCATCTAACATCTTCATGCCAACTTGTACGACTTTTATTTTCTTAAGTTTCTGTCTACATTCTTGTTCTGAAACTATTGTCGCTCTTGGTTTGTTAAAGACTACATCCCATTCTTTCATAACATAACATTCTGGGGCAGAGTCGACATAAATGACTAAACGTTTCAAATTCTCGACTGCTTTGTTATAGTCTCGAAATGGACACATATTTCTGAATGCTTGGAAGTCATAAAAATCTAAACATCTATTCTGTACATTTTTATAAAAATAAAAAAAAATATTTTTTTTTATTCTTGACTTTGTTGTTCCATTTGTTGCATTTGTTGTTCTTGAGCTATTTGTTGTTGAAGTTGTTCTTGTAATACAATACTTTCACCATATGCATCTTCCAATTCGAAACTTTCTGCCGTCATTGACAAATACATAGGACATAAAAGTTTTACAGGAACAAAGTTTGCGTCAACTAATGCCAACGTTATACTTGCCAAAGTGTTTGAGTTCACTAAGGTTGAAAATTCTGCATTCGAATGAACAATAGGCAAACCAGCAGAGAAAGTATTGTTTATACGCATAAGTATCTTTTGGTCATAATAGTTTCTGTCGACATTCGAATAACACTTTGAACCTAAGTTTGAAACAATATATAAGATTGGTGTGCTTAATGTCAATGGAATAGACATTCCTTGTATGACACCTTTTCCTGTTATAGGAAACTGTGGTAGTAAAAACCAGATATAAGTTTTGTATTATAGCTCATATCGTTTATAGTAAACTCAGTCGGACATCCAAACATAATGAAACCTGCTCTAGTTGCAGCACATGTTACACCCGTACTTAAAGTATTAAATAAGTCAACAAAACCTGTTGGTGGCATATCTGAGTAAGTATCTTCAAAGGAGTATTTTTTTACCATTCACAACAATAAAGTCTTCTGGTGTCAAAAGAGCAAAACAGGCTTTAGTCGTCACTGTGTTTAAGGTTAGTTTACAATATCGTCCTTGAGGACTTTGTAAGTTTGTTGTTATAGAATTATATGACTCAGGGTTTTTAGTCGTAATAGTATAAACCATTATGTCTTCTGCCATTTACTTAGCAAATAAATTTTAATGAAATGTTGTGGTCGTCAAATATTTTTATAACGTCTGGGAAACTATATTTTAAGTTCAACGTTTCACCTCCTTTCATAACGTATATCTTGTCAATGACATTATATGAAACACCACAGCAACTAATGTCGGGTTCTATTTCTTTGATGTTTATATCGTCTGCCTCTGTCAAAAGTTTCAATAGTTCTTTCAAAACTTCATGAGGTGCAATGACATATGAGTTCACTTTTACAGGGTTGTGTTCGACCAAGTTTAACATTATACCTAAAGCTTGACAAATCTTCTCCTGAGTTTGAAGTTTGTCTTTCAGTTGTTGTTGGTCGTTTCGAATATCTGCAACAGAACTTAAGTCTTTGTTAACTTCAGGGTATGTTGGTTGTTCTTTTACAGGAACTATTGTTATACCATCTTCGTCTTCGTATGGTTTCCCCATTTCAACATCTCTGTCTTTGACATTGACAATAACACTTTGACTGTTTGTTTGAGTTGGTGAATTTAACTTCACATCTGCCACCGCCATTAAACCTTTTGAAACACTTACGCTTCTATTTTTCGGAAATGACATTTTACTTAGAATAAAAATATGGACGCATTCGAGTATCTCTTCGAATTGAAGCAAAACAAAGTTTACACACACAAACAATACAAATACATTGACAGAATAGTTCTTTATACAAACAATGGAAAATGTTATAGAATAGCAATATTTGCTGAACCAAAATATTTTCATAAAGCAAAGAAAGTTGGTATAACTGAAATGGTGAAAGTTCTTGAAGCAGACAAAAATATAACTTCAAAACTGACCGATATTACTAAAGGAAAGTTTATAATACAATATTATGTCAAAACAGGTGTCATAACTATTTACGATGGTGAGAAAAGTGTCAAAGAACAACTTACTGACCTGCTGCCAAAATCTGCTCGATGGAAGCTGTCGTTATGCCAATCTGAGGAGCCCCAGCAGGTTTCATCGAACGAATCTTCAAAAGAGCATCTTCCGTGAAAAGTGCTATTGGTTTTGTAAACTTCTTTGCTCTCAATTCATCTGGACCGTCTCTGTCACCAGTATATTGTATTTGTACAGTACCAACAGTTGAAATACCACCCATAAAGTCTTCTGAGTCAGCAAATGGAATGCCAAGCCAAAAGTTTGAACGGTCTCCATTTGTATATTGAGTTTTTTGACCTCCTGTATGAGTCCATAGTTTTACATATGGCATAATAGAACTTTGCATTTCAGGGTTAATGGTTGTTGTGAAGTTGTTGTTAAAGTTCATAGCATCTAATGTCAAGTTGTATGACCTCATATCTTCAACTGTAGAATATTCTTCTCTTGGATAATATTTGCCATCTATGTTTATATGATATTTAATACCAGGGTTGTAGAAACAAGAATAGTCATTTATAGTTCGTCTGAACAGTACAAACATAGTATCTGCATGTTTCATTGCAGTTGTTAAAGCAATATCCGTTCTTGCACCTGGATCAGCACTTTGGTTTCCAACTTCACCTGCAAAGTCTTTGACAGATATTTGGTGTATAGGGAACATAAGTGGAACTGCAATATATTTGGCAGCTAAAGCATTTGAAATATCTGGATCCAACATATAAACGGCAAGTCTGCTTTCTATTCTCTTGCATTCAAACTTTTCGCATGTGAACTTAACTGGGTCCCAAGCAGTTCCAGCAGCATTGAAATAATAGTTTACTTCATTGTTGAAGTTTGAGAAACCAAAGTCTAAGTCAACTTTGTCTTTGCAAAATTCGGCGAATGATGTTTTATTTGTTCCCTTTACGTCTGTAATTGTTAATGGGTCTTGTGTTGGTGCAATGACTAAGTTATTTTTGCTTGGAGTAAGTTCGATAGAAATTTTTCCTGCCCAGTTTGGCAAGTATCTTAAAAACCTGAAGATGAGGAAAGATGACAAAGGAACTCTAAGTTTCAGTTTTACTTTGGTTACTGCTGCTGCAGTTTGTCCAGAAAGGTTAACATAAACTCCTGGAACGTTAGGGTCAAGTCTTCTTATTTTCTCAATAGTTGCATACTGGTCTGTTTGTTCTCTAGCTTGTGGTTGTACTGAGTTTCTTAAAGCGAACCATTCATAGTTTGCCCATGTTACTGTTTGAACTAAGTCAGAGTTAGAATATATCTTATATCCCATGAAAACTTCTGGAGCATATTGGTATCCGACATAGAAAATTCCATTGCAACCTTTCTTGTCAGACAACTTGGCAGAAGGTTTTATTTCAATGTCTTGTTCCACGTATAAGAATGAGTTGTCAATAGAAATAATGTGAAACCTGTCGCATGCAATATCTACTGTTGTTGAAGAACCTTCACCAAACTCACCTACATTTCCATAAGAAACAGCAGTTGTATATTCGTAAGTTCCAGGAACTATTTCTGACCTTCTAATGGCATTGTCGCATTCGTTATACCATTCGGAAACATTTCCGTTCATGGCATTCAAAACTGTTGGCGTTATATTCTGAGCGGCGTACATTTCATATGGGTAAAAATATAGAATAGTTGGATTTATATGTCATAATAAAACCCACTCGGACCAAGCTTTACTTTCTTCCTGACTGAATTTTTAACTCTTCTTTTTCCTTCATTGCCACTACTTTCACTAGATGAAATTACTTCTTCACTACTTTCACTTTGTTCTACTCTTCTCTTCTTCTTTGGTGTCGCTTTTGGTAACTTGACCTCTGCTTCAAGTTGTAGCATCTTTGCCTCATGTTCACCTAGTATGTTGTAAATTTCCCATGTCCTTTTTGCCTTTGGGCTCGTCGCCCATCTCAGGTAACCTATATCCTAGAAAGATTTTGTCATAGTTTGTATTTGAGTCTTCGTTTATTGTTTGCATGACTCTTTCCTGAGTTTCCGGTTCAAGCTCTTCAAACAGAGCTTGTCCATATGGAATAAGCTCGTTTCCAAATATTATTTTGTAGCCATTCTGGTTTTCTTTCCATGTTACCAATAATATCTTTTGTGAATGGGAAAGCTTTTACCCAACGTTTCAGTCTTGCGTCATTTATTTCTTAGTTGGTTTTATTTTGTCATGGAACATGTTTTTCAATACTAACATTTCATTTGGTACTGTCCATTTGAGTTTTCTTAAATATTCATCCCTTCTCGGTTCATAGTCTGCAACGTAAGTTTTTATGACATTTTGCAAACTTTCGTTTGCAAGGTCATGTACAATAGGTCTTCTCCTTCTCTCTCCCTAACTCTCTTTCTAAACTCTTCACCAAATATACCATCTCTATGGTTCTGTGTAGTTCTTTGAGATAAATGTTCTAGAACGTCAGGTGTTATATTTCCCTCAGCCATGTTCATTTCATACTGGTCCAAAATATCTACATATTTCATATCTTTCAATGGCATTAAAGCCGCGCTGAAAATACCAGCTATATCTGGTTCACCATTCACTTCCATTGCGTCTACAACTTCTTGGAATTGAGGTTGTAAGTTTATGAACCACCTATCCGGATTAGCTTTATGACCCCATCTCATTGTAGTTCCATAGTCTGCAGAAACAAAAGTAGGTTTGTTTCCATATTGGTTAGGTTCTGAATGAACTTTAAACAATGTTTCATTTCTATATGTTTTGGTGAAATTTAACCTTTTATTTTCACCGAGTTCAGCCAAAGATTGAACGTTATATGGTCGTAAGTAAAAAGGATTATTGTATTTGTGTACATTATCTTTCAGTACTTCCATTCTATGCTGAATATTTTCATCTGATGTTGGAGTCTTTTGTATGTCGGTGAACATTTTTCGATATTCTTCTACTATGTCAGCCGAATTTTTCTTAGACTCTTGGAAAGATTCCATATTCTCCGCGTACTCTTGTTGAGGGTCAAGATTTTTCGGCTGTTCCAAATCTTCATCTAGTTCTGTGAAGTTAGTTTCCAAAGGAGGGATTTGTTCGTTTCCTTCTGGCTCTTCTAGCTGTTGTTGCTGAACTATTTCTTCCATGTCTGGTTGAGTGTGGTAGAATTTACGAAAAAGTGACACTATAAAAGTGACACTTAACCTTAAATTTCCAAACACTATTTTTTGATTGTATTTTGTTATTTATATATTTATATATATAAATATATTTATATAAATATATTTATATATGTATATATTTATATATGTATATATTTATATATGTATATATTTATATATGTATATATATATGTATATTATATATATGTATATATTATAATATATGTATATATTTATATATGTATATATTTATATATGTATATATTTATATATGTATATATTTATATATGTATATATTTATATATGTATATATTTATATATGTATATATTTATATATGTATATATTTATATATGTATATATTTATATATGTATATATTTATATATGTATATATTTATATATGTATATATTTATATATGTATATATTTATATATGTATATATTTATATATGTATATATTTAAAAGACGGTGGTTCACCAACATGATTATGAAAATGATGTCCATTTACAAATCTGTATTGATTAGATTTCATTTCAAAGGTAATGTTAGCACTACAACTTCCCCATCTACAGTAATGTCTAATAATTGTTACTCCATCTGAATTCAAATGCGAATCTTTCCGATAATTGCAGTTAGCACGCATCTCTGCTTGAACTCCATATTGAAGATAATGAATGAAATCAATATATTGTTTTGTATCAGCAAGGGGTGCAGGAACGGATTGATTCATTTAAAAAATGAAAAAAGTGAGAATTGTAAATAATTAAGGTTAATATTGAATAAATAATACATCAAACTAGTTTTAGAGTTGATAGTAAGAAGCGAAGAACACTACCAGTAAGATACAGCAGTAGTAGCTGCTTCATGCTGCATTGAGTATTGTTGAATAATTTGAAGTAGTGGTTTTTGAAATCAGCACCCCTATGAGAGCGCTGGCGACCGAAACACCACTAGTAAGATTGTGTATTAGAAACTGCTTCATGCTGTGTTGAGTAAGCTTCGATATCTTTATCAGACCACCTTTAAATTAACCACTCACATTCTCACTGTGGTCCATCTAAAATTTGTAAACTTTATGACATAAAATTATATTATATGCAGGATCCCACCTATTACTTAATCTTTTTGGAATAAATGTTTTATAATATTTATCGATTGATTGTAATTTTTTGTATAAAAAAAGTTTTTTATTTATATTAAAAATATATTCGGTTAATGATATTATCTTATAATTTGTAAATAAATCTAGTAATAAAATAACTTTAATAGTTGGTGTCACTTTTTCGAAAATTCTGGTTTTTTCGTTTCCAAAGGAGGGATTTGTTCGTTTCCTTCTGGCTCTTCTAGCTGTTGTTGCTGAACTATTTCTTCCATGTCTGGTTGTATCTGAACTTCTTCCTGTGGAGTTTCTTGTACCTCATCTGCTGGCATTTCATATATTCCGAGACCGTTTTTAACAAGTTCCCTTTCTAAGTCATCCGCATTCATAAGCCTTTCTTCTTTCGTTCCGTCTCTATTTTTTACGCGTTTCATGAAGAGAGTTGAATTATCATTTATCTCTGACATCAAATATCTCGGAGTAAATTCATCCATGTCATTTGGATGATATGCTATTAAATCATATCCCTTTGCGAGCTTGTATTTTCCAGGTTTGAGATTATATCCGATTTGATGCTGAACCATAAAGCTAAATATGTTCGGGTCAGTATTTCCTTCCTTGAACTTTCTAATAGCTTCTTTATATCTGTCACTAAAGTCAAGATTATCTGGGTAACCATAATCTTCCTTAAGCATTTTTAAGAATTCTTGGTTTCATTTTTCTCTACTTCTTTTATGTCCTTGCTCTGTTTGTGGTTGTTGTGCAGGGTTTTGAACTGTTGGTTGCTGTGCTGGTTGTGGAGGTGGTTGTTGTTGTGCAGGGTTTTGAACTGTTGGTTGCTGTGCTGGATTTTGAACTGTTGGTTGTTGTGGTGCTGGATTTTGAACTGTTGGTTGTTGTGGTGCTGGATTTTGAACTGTTGGTTGTTGTGTTGGTTTTGGTGCATGCCTGTGTCTGTGTCCATGTGACGATGTAAATGTTTTAGGTAGTCCCGGTGCGGGTGCTTCTCTTGGAGGGTTTGGTGGTATATAAGTTCCACTAGCTAGTATATAAGTTCCACCAGCTGGTATATAAGTTCCACCAGCTGGTACATATGTTCCATCTGCAGCATAATGTCCTACCTGACTTTTCGTTTTTAAGAAAGCATTTACTAGGTCTGTTTTGGTCTGTTGTAACTCTTTTTCTTGACTTTCCACAACAGTTGCTCTAACGGCGTCATAGGCACTTTGAACTGCCTGTCTCGTTGCTGCATCTGTTATTTTCGTCATATTTTGTGCTACTTCTCTTAACTCTTTGTCGAAACCTTCAGACTTCAGTTTCTTTCCAGATGAGAAATCGTTCACTTGTTTCACCTTACTATGAAGAGCTTCGAAGGCATTCTTAAAGTCAGCATTCATTAAGGCTTCATTTGAACTGTCTTCATCCGCTTGTATTTTTGTCCTTATTGACCCTATAAGTTGGGCTGCTTTGGCGTTGGCTTGGGCATCTAACCAGTCATTATTAGCTTTTATATATTCTGCGCTTTTCATTGCCTTTTGCATGGCTGCGTCGTTATTTTTACTTTCTTGTGCTAAGTTTTCATACTGTACGGTTTGGTTTTGCAACTGTAAAAGTTTTTCTGCCTTTACATTTGCTTCAACTTCTTTTTTATACTCATCGCTATCCATATATGTCTTCATGGCTTTTTGTTTTATCTCTTCATCTTTCAGTACTTTATATTGAGTAGTATGGTTTTTCAAATTTATAACATCTTGTTCCATTTTTGCTACTTCTGCTGCTTTTTCTGACACTTTTTTCGCATATTCCTCTGTACTTAGTTCTTTCAGTTGTTCTTCTTTCTTCTTTTTCTCTACGTTTAACTCATTGAGTTTCTTTGTGTGTCTGTCATATTCTAGTTTCTTTTCGTTTTCACTTATTTGTTTCTGTATGTCTATGTTTGACTTTTTGACATCTGATATTTGATTTTTGAGTGAACTCAAATTCATTTGACTTTGAGGGTTATAAGCTGTTCCGTCTGCAGCTCCACCATAGCCTGCCATTTTCGCTAAAAGTGCCGCTCTTAAACCTCCACTCTGTGCACCAATAACTCGGTTTAAAAGCATAGGGTTGCTTGACATTTGTTGCAACATAGTGGGGTCATTCATCATTTGTTGTTGCAACTGTTGTTGTGGTGTCAGTTTTACTATTGGATGTTTCAATGCTCCCTTCCTCTTATGTATATTCTTACGTAGCTTACGTGGCATTTTAAGTGAAGTTAAAAAGCGGTTTTTGACAGATGTTTATATGACACTTTTTGTTCAGCACAAAAAACTACTCGGTCAAAGTGTTGTCAGTTTTGTAAAATAACCGTTCTATCTCATTCTATAAGGGGGAAAAGGCTTCTCAAAGTCTACTTCCTTGGAACGCCTGTAACTTTTCCTGTAGCGACGATAGACCATTATTTGTCCGGACAAAGTTATACTATTTTGAGTGCTCTACAAAAAAAGTCAACGGCGACGACTCTCAAAAACCGTTGTGTAAAAAGTTTGACCGTTGGACAAAAAAGTAGAGAAGAAAACAAAAAACGTTTATAGTTCATTCAATATTTGAGATAAACTGTTTTTCCAACGGTAACTATTAAATAAAATAAAAAATAGAGGGGGTTACCGTTGACGAAAACGGTTTTTATTCAATATTCATTTTCCACAAACTTCTGGTCAGTTCATTTTTCATAATGGAAGCCAACACCACTGACACTGCTGTTACCAATTCTACCCTTCGTAGGGGACAACAAATGTTGTTAACAACATTCTTCAAGCAAACCCCAAAGGTTTCTCAACCTACTCCTTCGGTTGAAGCAACAATTCAGGGTCAATCAGACTCAAATTCGAATTCAAACCAAATTCCACCCAATTCTACTTCAAACCAACCTTCAAACGCACCAGAACAACACACACATGTCTCAACCTCTCAAACTACACAGCAAACACAAAGACAAACTTCCAATTCTGGTACAATTGGAATTGTACTTACTCATGAAGAAGAAGAAGAATATTTGGTAGAACCAGAAATAAAAGAAAGCGATATTCGTAAGGACGCAGTCAAGAGACTCGAACAATTCATGAAGAATTACCCACAAAACTTAAGCATTCAAGACACAAATGACTATTCAGATTTCTACAATGATATTATTGAAGCCGTCAAAAAATTTGAAGATAATGTTCAAAATCCAACAAACCTTTCAGAATTCTTCTTCAAATTGCTTCCTTATACAGGAAATATCATTGGTTTACAGTTCTGTGACGAGTTTATTCAAACATTCGGTCCCAGACAGCAAAGAAGTCTATACGCACGTCTGAAACTGTTTCATCCTTATCCACTTACATATAATTGGATTGAAGAACTTCAAGAACACGGAAAGGAACAACATTTCAAGTTCTATGTAGATGTTCCTCAAGGAAAGCTTGCTAAGACATTCACAATACAACCAAAACAATTCTATGAAGACTTTCTTCACGTAATTTCAACTATTGCTATGGTTGAGCCTGAAAGGGTTACATTCGGTCAAAGTGTTTCTCTATATAATGTTCGTCAAGGACTTGAGCCGCTTAAAATAGCCGAGTTTACCTCCTCCTCAGCACAGCTCAAATTGGACTGCGAATTCCAATTTGTTGGAAACTCCAAGTTCTCTCTCCATACACCATTCAACCAACGCATCCGTATCTTCATTGCTGGATATGTTGGAGACCCTATAACAAATGATGATGAAGAAGAAATTTCAGAAGAAGAGGAGGAGGAAGAAGAAAACGATAGCGATGTCGTTCTTATCGAATAAAAACTTTAATTTTTTACTAGGTTTTTTAGGGGCTAGAGGGCACGAAGTGCCTGGAAGCCCCACTCACCTGACCTCATTTCAGTAATTTCAGGCATATGGATTTACGAATTCATGCGCTTAAAAGATGCTCAAGTTTGATTTTCCAAATTATTTTATTTGTTTCTTCAAAAAAATGTCTGTTTCAGCCAAAGCCTCACGTAGGAATTCAAATTACCAAAAACACTTGACATATCACATTCAATAACGTTCGATTTTTGAATTCCGGTGCCTATCATTTTGAAAGAGAAAGGTAAATAATTGAATAAATATTGAAAATGCTAGGTAATCAAATACGCTGAATATAAAATTAATTGAATGATTTAAGGATATTATTCCATTGGAAAAAATCTGCCATAAGTATTCAATTTTTTATACTAAATATAACAAGTAATTAAATCATGCAAATAATAATTTTATGAAATATCGGATTTGAAGTCACTTTTGGTTAAGTGAACTGATACATTCAATCCATAACTGTCATTTCAATTTTTTGAGAGAATAAAGAGGTTGGAAAAAATCAACATTTCTACACATGTTCGTTCAGGCACATGAGCAGAAAGCCTTCCTCGGCTGGATGCGCGAGACAAGCAACATGTTCACAGGCGAAGAATACCAGACACGCCTTGGCATTTGGCTCTCCAACAAGCGCCTTGTTCAGGAGCACAACCGTGCTAACCTCGGCTTCACAGTTGCTCTCAACAAGCTCGCCCACCTTACACCAGCTGAATACAAGTCCCTCCTTGGCTTCCGCATGAACAAGGCTGAGCGCAAGGTCGTCAAGTCCAACGCTATCGCTAACGCTGACTGCGACTGGCGTAAAGAAGGCGCTGTTAACCCAATCAAGGGCCAGGGTCAGTGCGGCTCTTGCTGGGCTTTCTCTGCTATCCAGGCTCAGGAATCACAGTACTACATCGCATTCAAGAACCTCCAGTCCCTCTCTGAACAGAACCTTGTTGACTGCGTTACAACATGCTATGGCTGCAATGGTGGTCTCATGGATGCTGCTTATGACTATGTTATCAACCACCAGTCCGGCAAGTTCATGACAGAAGCTGACTACCCATACACAGCTCGTGATGGCTCCTGCAAGTTCAACGCTGCTAAGGGCACATCCCAGATCAAGTCCTATGTTAACGTTGCTGAAGGCGATGAGAAGGATCTTGCTACAAAGGTTTCCACCCTCGGCCCAGCTGCTATCGCTATTGATGCTTCTGCTTGGTCATTCCAGCTCTACTCCTCTGGCATCTATGATGAATCCGCTTGCTCCTCTTACAACCTCGACCACGGTGTTGGCTGCGTCGGCTACGGCACAGAAGGCTCCAAGAACTACTGGATCGTTCGTAACTCCTGGGGCACATCATGGGGTGAGAAGGGCTACATCCGCATGATCAAGGACAAGAACAACCAGTGCGGTGAAGCTACAATGGCTTGCATCCCACAGGACAAGTAAAGCTTTTATAGTGATTGCATACGGTAATTATATCTCTTTTTTACTTTTTTTTTAATTTTCTGTTAATTTCAATTTTTCATATATTATATACGGATCATTAATCATAATATTGTGTTTTTGTGAATATCTAACAAAGGGCATTCAATATTTTAAGTATGCTACTTGAAATGAATTAATTTTGGAAATAATTATTCTCAGTTTGGAGAAATACAAAAGACAGAGTTATTCTTCTCCTTTTAATAATCCAGATAATACATTGGATCTGTTTAATTATGTCCTTGATCTCTATTTCAAGAAAATTTCATTAATATTAGCACATTATATAAATGTGATCATTTAAATTCGAGGTGATTTACCATGATTTCCATTCTCAAAGGATATCTTCCTAAAACAGAAGAAGATGTAGTTCATATGTAAACTAATGTGTTGTTACAAACACATGAATTGCTTAACAACGATATGTGAGAGTTCCCAGTTCATGATGACATCCTTTGACAAATCCTGACAAATGAAGTATAAATCTGATGATCTTTTTTACGTCAATGCTTGTCACTTTTTAACCAATATATTCAAAATATAAAAGATATTTAACATTTTTGGACAATTAAATATACCATATTTCAACTTGCTTATACGTTTGTGAAGGAAAATCTGGAAAATAAATCCTATTGTTTTCAAGAAATTAATTTTATGCCGAAGCAACCATAATTACATCATTTAAGGTTCAAATAATGAATACAATTAAATATTTAACACTGAACAACTTTTGGAATTATAACGATCATTTTGATTGGAGATTTGGACTTCTAGATTCATGAGTTCAGAAAAAGGATCAGAGTCAAAATCTCTTGATGAAATTCAACGAATTTATAACAGGTTAGTTGAGAAATACTCAGAGTCTTCATCAATATTAAAATCGCCAATAAAAGGTAACCAAAACGCAACTCAATTGAATAGTTCGAGCTTAATTTTATCGCAAGAAAGAGTGAATCCAGCTAATGTTTCCAAAAAATACCGTGCATTTTTTAAAGATTATATTTCAACTCTGGAAACTATAAATCAAAGCTTAACAGCAAATCCAAAAATAACTAAAAGCGTCAAACAACAGATTGTAAAAGCAAGAAAACTCGCCAAACATCTAAGAGAACTAAATTATGAGGAAGATATCAGCGAATCCATACAAGATACCTCATTAAATGAAGACAGAGTCAAAAGGGTATTTATAGATAATCAAAATCTCATGAAAAACTACGAAGATGATCTTAATCATACAACTCCTAAAAACCCGCATCCAAACCTCGATGATTCCGAAGTGTTACCTGATAACATGGATGACAGTTCCTTAATTATTGAAAATGTTCGAACTCGAGATTTCAAATTCGATCCAGAAGAGTTAAATCAGCAAAATACTTTGGATGAATTGACTCAAAACAATGAGATACTTTCAAAGGATAATGAAAAATTATCAAAAGAAAACGAACAATTAAATCAAGAAAATACCTCACTTAGTACATTACTCGGATCAGCAAAATCAACTAATTTGGAGCTAGAAAATACCATCGAACAACTTAAATCTGCAAACAAAGAATTGTCAGATAAAAATGTTGAAATCCAAGCAAAACTCATTAATTTACAGAAAGAGAAAGAACAACTAACATCTACAAATGATAAATTATTGACTGAAACAGAAAATCTCAAGAAGGAAATTGATGAATTAAATAATGCAAACAAAGAATTGAATGTTAAAAGCATTAACCTTCAACAAAGCCTTGACAATGAAAAGCAAAACAATAAGAAGATGATTCAAGATCTAAATAAAGAAAAAACAGATTTAATTTCGAAAATTGAAAAATTAGAAATGGATAACAAGGAAATGAACAGTAAACTAAATAATGTTAACACATCATATAATGATTTAGATGCTAAAAACCAAAATAATCAAACAAAAGTTAATAATTTAGAAAAAATTATTGAAAAACTCATTAAAGAAAACACAGAATTAGCAAATAACAACAAAAACAATAATTCTAAAATTGATGAACTTCAAAATCAAAATAAAGATCTCATTTCAGCTTCTAATGACATGAACACGAAAAATCAAAGTTTGCAAACAAAAATTGATCAACTAAATAAAGAAAAAACAGAATTAGAAGAGAAAAACAAAGTTCTTAAATCAAATCTTGAAGGTCTAAAATCAGATTTATTATCTAAAAATCAGGAATCAACAAAGAAAAATGAAAATTTACAAAAAATCATTGATCAATTACAGAATGAAAACAAACTTCTGAGTTCAAATCTTGAAAATCAAACTAAGTTAAATGATGATCTAAACAAAGAAAAATCAGATTTACAATCTAAAATTGAAGAATTAGAAAAGAACAACAAAGATTTGACATCAAATCTTGAAAACAATCATAAGACAATTGAAGAACTCAGCAATAAAATAAATGATTTACAAAACAATAACAAAGAATTGACTTCAAATCTTGAAGATCAAAACAAGTTAAATGATGATTTAAACAAAGAAAAAGCAGATTTGCAGTCTAAAATTGAAGAATTATCAACTAAAAACGAAGAACTTGAATCATCAAATAAAAATGAAAAAGAAAATCTTCAAAATAAAGTTGATGAATTTGAAAAGATTATTGATCAACTTAGAAAAGAAAAAGAAGTTTTAGAAGAAAATGAAAAAGTTTCTAAAACAAATATTGATGATGATTATAAAGTTATTGAAGAGCTCAACAATGAGAAATCTGATTTACAATCAAAAATCGATCAACTAGAAAAGAACAACAAAGATTTAACAACAAATCTTGAACTTTCTAATAAAGAAAAATCAGATTTATCTCTTGAAAATGAGAATAAAAGAAAAGAAATCGATGAACTTAAATCATTGAACAACAAAACAAACAATGATATTGAAAAGTTACAATTACAAATACAAGAATTAGAAAAGTCTAATGAACAACTCCAAAAAGAGAAAGAAGTTTTATCATCAGAAAACAATCAACTCAAATCAAATGTTGAAAATAGTGAAAAGGAAATCGGAATACTTAACAAAGAAAAAGCTGATTTACAATCTAAAGTTGAAGAATTAGATAATAATAACAAAGAATTGGCTTCAAATCTTGAAAATCAAAACAAGTTAAATAAAGTTCTAAACAACGAAAATTCAGATTTACAATCTAAGATTGAAGAATTAACAACCAAAAACCAAGAACTTGAATCATCAAATATTGAAACTAATAATGAAAAAGAAAATCTTCAAGCTAGAATTAATGAATTAGAAAAGATTATTGATGAACTTCAAAAAGAAAATGAAAATTTAGAAACTGAAAGCAATCATCTTAGAACAGATCTTCAAAACAATGAAAAAACAATTGCAGATCTCAACAAAGACAAAAATGATTTAACTTCTAAAATTGGAGAACTAGAAAAGAATAATAAAGAATTTACAACTTTAATTGACAAAATTAATGCATCAAATAAAGATTTGCAAACAAAGAATGATGAACTACAATCAAAAGTTGATTTATTAGAGAAGATTCTTGATCAACTCAACAAAGATAAGTCTGATTTAATTACTAAACTTGAAGAACTTCAAACTTCAATTGATCAAATGAAACAAACAAATGAAAATCTCAACAAAGAAAATAAAGATTTGCAAAATAAAATCGAAGAATTACTTGAAGAAAATGATAAAGCAAATAATGAAAATGAATCAAAGAATAAAGAACTCCAACAAATCATTGATCAATTAGCTGAAGAAAAGTTAAGCTTACAAAATAAATTTGAAGAATCAGAAAAGAATGCAAAAGACAATCAAAAAATTATTGATGAGTTGATTGCAGAAAATGAAAAACTTACTTCATCAAATAATGAAGAAAAAGTTGAACTTGAATCATTAAAGAATTCTCTTGAAGAAACAAAACAAAATGATGACAAATTGGTTGAAGAATTATCAAAAGAAATCGAAAAATTGAAGAATGAAAATAACTCTATTTTGGAGAATTCTGATTCTAAAAACAATGAAAATCAACAAATAATTGATCAACTTAAGAAAGAAAAATCAGATTTAATGAATCAAGTTGACAAATTAACAAAGAAGAATGAAGATCAAGAAAAAGTTATTCAAGATTTGATTAATGATCAAAATCAAAAAGATGAAGAAAACAAACAAATGAATGATCAATCAAATGAATTGAAATCTCAAATCGAAAAGATTTCAATTGAAAATGAAACTTTGAAATCAGATCTTCAAAAGAATAAGGAAAGTAATGGTGAACTTATGAAAGAAAGAGAAATTTCTCAGTCTGAACTTGAAGAATTAAAGAAACTTCTTGAAGAAACAAAACAAAATGACAACAAGTTAATTGATAAATTAAGAAACGAAAATCAATCTCTTAATAACCAATTAGATATGAACAATAAAGATCATCAGCAAATCATTGATCAATTTACCAAAGAAGAATCAGATCTAATGTCTCAAATCGAAGAACTTAATGCATTGAACAATGAATTAAATGTAAATATTCAGAACTTAGAACAAGATAAGTCAAATTTGACCAAACAAAATGAAGAATTAAATGCATTATTAAATGAAACCAAATTACAAAACCAAAATCTTTCAAATGAAAACGAAACTTTGAGATCAAATAATGAAAGGCTTCAATCTGAATTAAAACAAAATGAAGAAAAATCCAAATCAGATTTCGATCAATTAACAAAAGATCTCGAAACACTTAAGTCTGAACAATCAAATAAAGATAAAATGATTGATGAATTACAAAATAAGACAAATGATTTAGAAGAATCTATCGGAAAATTGAACGAAGAAAAAGCAAAAATAACTGATTCATTAACAGATCGTGATCAAAAAATTGAACAACTTAATAAAGAAAAGTCTGATTTAATCTCTGATATTAATAACTTTGAAGCTTCCCAAAAAGAATTAAATGATAAGATTGACTCACTTAATTCGGCCAACAAAGATTTGAACCAAGAAAACGAGAAATTGAAATCACAAATTTCTTCGTTAGAAAATGAAAATTCTTCACTGCAATCAGCCAACAATTCGAAAGATAAAGAAATTAAAAGCATCAATCAACAACTTTCAGAAACAATTTCATCATTTGATAATTATAAATCTCAACATGAATCAGAAGCTGAAGCTCTTTCAAATAAATTAAACAATTTGGAAGCAAACAAAGACAAATCTGAAAAAGAACTTGAAGAATTGAGAAATGAATTAGAAAAGCTTCAAAATGAAATTCAAATTCGTGAACAAAGAGAAAAAGAACTTTCAAATCAAAATGAAGAACTAATGAATATTCTTGAAAAAATGAAATCAGAATTAAATGATGTCAACATGAACAATGAACAACTCGATCAAGAAAAAGAAATATTGAAGAAGTCACTTGAAGAAAATCAACAAAACTATGATCAATTAATTGATGAATTAAGTAAAGAAATTGAAGTACTCAAGAAACAACTTTTGACTAAAGATGCAGATTCTAATTCATCCAAACACGAAATTGATGAATTACAATCAAAAATTCAAAATCTTTCATCTGAAAATGAAAATCTGAAATCAACAAATAATGAATTGAAACAAAATCTTGATGATATTCTTAAAAACAATGAACAAATCAATTCAGAATTAACCGAAACTAAACAAACTAACAAAGATCTTTTATCACAAATTGAATCATTGAAGAAAGTTCTTGAAGAAAATAAACAAAATGATGAACAATTAGTTGATGAATTAAGTAAAGCACCTGACGAAATGAAGCATGAACAACAAAAGAAAGATAATAGAATTGATAAATTAACTAAAGAAAAAGAAACTCTTCATAACACATTAAATTCACATGACAAAGATCATCAACAAATCATCGAAGAAATGAACAAAGAAAAATCTGAATTAGAATCTGAACTTGAAAAACTTAAATCATTGAACAAAGAATTAAATGAAAACAACACAAAACTTAATCAAGATAAATCAGAACTGATCAAACAAAATGAAGATTTGACGAATGATAATAATCATAAAGATGAATTCATTAATGAAAACCAAGTAAAAATTGATGAATTGTCATCTTTGTTAAATGATTTGAAATCACAACTTCAAAATCTTTCTAATGAAAATGATTCATTAAAACAAGAAATAGAAAAACAAAAAGAAACCAATGAAAAACTGCAATCAGAATTAGAAGATTCAAAGGAAAATTTAGAAAAATCTAAATCTGAAATCGACCCAATTCAGAAATCTCTTGAAGAAACTAAACAAAATGATGAACAGTTAGTTGATGAATTAACTAAAGAAATTGAAAAATTGAAGAACGAACAAATGACTAAAGATCAAAAGATTGATGAATTGACAAAAGAGAATCAATCTCTTAATAGTAGTTTAGAGGACAATAATAAAGAAAATGATCAAATCATTGATCAGTTGAACAAAGAAAAATCAGATTATGAATCTAAACTCAATGAACTCAAGCAAGATCATTCAGATTTAATGGATCAAATTGAATCATTAGCAAAGAAGAATGACGAATTAATCAAAGAAAATAATAATAAAGATCAAATCATTAATGATAACAATCAAAGAATTGAAGAATTAGTTTCTTTATCGAATAAATTGAAGCCACAAATTGAAGTTCTTTCTAAAGAAAATGAATCATTGAAATCAGAAATACAAAGAAATCATGAAAACATTGAAAAACTTCAGCAAAAATTAGATGAATCTCAACAAACCAATGAAAATTCTTCAAATGAAATTGATAATTTGAAGAAACTTCTTGAAGAAGCAAACAACAATCATAATCAATTAATGAATGATTTCGAAAATCTCAAACATGAGATTTCTGATAAAGATAAAATGATTCAGGAATTAGAGAAGAGAAATGATGCAAATAATAATCAAAACTCTGATTTAAGTGCAAAACTGAAAGAATCCGAAGCAAAGATTTCAGAGCTTGATTCACAGATCGAAAAATATAAGCAAGAACTAGAAAAACTCATGAAAATGAACAATGAACTTAAAGAAACTGTCCAAGAAATGGAGAACCAAATTCAGAATATTTCAAATGAAAATGTAAATCTCAAAACAGAAGTTGATAAATCCAAAGAAAATAGCAACAAACTCCAAAACGATCTTAATGAGGCCAAACAAAATAACGAGAATCTTTTATCTCAAATTGAATCATTGAAGAAACTTCTCGAAGAAAATGATGCCAATTTTGAAAAAATGAAATCAGAATTAAATGATGCCAAAATGAACAAAGAACATTCAGATCAAGAAAATGAAACATTGAAGAAGTCACTTGAAGAAAATCAACAAAACTATGATCAATTAGTTGATGAATTAAGTAAAGAAATTGAAGAACTCAAGAAACAACTTTTGACTAAAGCTGAAGAATCTAATTCATCTAAACACGAAATTGATGAATTACAATCAAAAATTCAAAATCTTTCATCTGAAAATGAAAATCTGAAATCAACAAATAATGAATTGAAACAAAATCTTGATGATATTCTTAAAAACAATGAACAAATCAATTCAGAATTAACCGAAACTAAACAAACTAACAAAGATCTTTTATCACAAATTGAATCATTGAAGAAAGTTCTTGAAGAAAATAAACAAAATGATGAACAATTAGTTGATGAATTAAGTAAAGCACCTGACGAAATGAAGCATGAACAACAAAAGAAAGATAATAGAATTGATGAATTAACTAAAGAAAAAGAAACTCTTTATAACACATTAAATTCACATGACAAAGATCATCAACAAATCATCGAAGAAATGAACAAAGAAAAATCTGAATTAGGATCACAAATTCATGAATATGAATCAGAACTTGATAAACTTAAATCATTGAACAAAGAATTAAATGAAAACAACACAAAACTTAATCAAGATAAATCAGAATTGATCAAACAAAATGAAGATTTGACTAGAAACAATAATGATTTGATTAACGCTCAAAATGATAAAGACAGAATAATTAATGAAAACAAAGCAAAGATAGATGAATTGCCATCTTTGTTAAATGATTTACAATCACATCTTCAAAATCTTTCTAATGAAAACAATTCATTGAAACAAGAAGTCGAAAAGCTTCAAACAGAATTAGGAGATTCAAAGCAAAATGAAGAAAAATCTAAAATTGAAAGTGAACAAATGAAGAAATCACTTGAAGAAACCAAACAAAACGATGAGCAATTAGTTGATGAATTAACTAAAGAAATCGAAAAATTGAAGAATGAACAATTGAATAAAGATCGAACAATCCAAAATTTAACAAATAAAAACGAATCAATTAATAAGAACTTGGATTCAAACAACAAAGAATATGAACAAATCATTGATCAATTAAATCAAGATCTTTCTGAATCAAAATCAAAACTCAATGATTACGAAACAAAGATGAATGAACTCAATTTATTAAACAAAGAATTACAGAAAGATAATGAAACACTCAAAGAAAATCAATCAGATTTAATTAATCAAATCGAAGAACTTTCAAAGAAGAACGAAAATCTTATTAATCTTCAAGGAACAAATTCAAATCTTGTTTTAAAGAATGATGAACTCCAACAGCTTATTGATAAACTCAATAAAGAAAAATCAGACTTGATCCAAGAAAATGAAAGATTAACAAAGAATAATGGAGAATCAAATGAAAAACTACAGAGTTTAGATCAAATGATTGAAACTGTGAAGAATAATTCATCTGAGAAAGACAAAGAAAATCATCAAATCATTGATCAACTAAATAAAGAAAAGCTTGATTTGTCATCAAAACTTAAGGATTATGAAAATCAACTAGATGTTCTTAAATCATCACTAAAGGAATTAAATGACAAAAACAAAGAACTGCAAAATGGTAATGACATTTTGAAACAAGAAAATGAAACTCTTACACCTAAAATTTCATCTTTAGAAAGTGAAAATTCTTCATTGAAATCAACCAATGAAATCAAAGATAAAGAAATAGAAGAATTGAAACAAAAACTTTCAGAAATTAGTCAACTCAACTCTCAACATGAATCTGATCTAGATTCAAGGAGAAAACAGTTTGAAAAAGAACTTGAAGAATTGAGAAATCAATTAGAAAAGCTTCAAAATGAAATTCAAATTCGTGAACAAAGAGGAAAAGAACTTTCAAATCAAAATGAAGAATTAATGAATAATCTTGAAAAAATGAAATCCGAACTAAATGATGCCAAAATGAACAAAGAACATTCAGATCAAGAAAATGAAACATTGAAGAAGTCACTTGAAGAAAATCAACAAAACTATGATCAATTAGTTGATGAATTAAGTAAAGAAATTGAAGAACTCAAGAAACAACTTTTGACTAAAGCTGAAGAATCTAATTCATCTAAACACGAAATTGATGAATTACAATCAAAAATTCAAAATCTTTCATCTGAAAATGAAAATCTGAAATCAACAAATAATGAATTGAAGCAGCAAATCGAGAGTTTGAAGAATGATCTTCAGAACAAAGATCAGATTGTCGAAGAATTAACTAAAGAAATTGATTCTTCCAACAAACAATCACATGAAAACAATGAATTACTAAATCAAAAACAATTAGATTTAATGAAACAAATTGAAGATTTAACTAAGAAACAAGGAGAAATGCTTAAACAAAATCAAAACCAAGAAAATATCATTAATGACTTAAAGATAAAGAACGAAGAATTGACTAAAGAAGGAAACAACAAAGATAAAGTCATTAATGAATTAAACAAATCATTAAACGATTTTAAATCATTGATTCAAAATCTTTCAAATGAAAATGAAAAATTGAAATCAGCTCTTCAGAATTCCCAAGGAAACAATGCAGACCTTCAACAAAAATTAAATTCAACACAACAAAATGATCAAAATCTTTTGAACCAAATTGAATTATTGAAGAAATCTCTTCAAGAAAACAAACAAAATGAAGATAATTTAGTAAACGAGATACAAAACCAAAAGATTGAAAATCAGAACAAAGATCAAATAATTGAAGATCTGAGAAAGAAGAATGAAGAATTAAATCTCAAACAACAACAAATTCAAGATCAATTCAACAAAGAAAAATCAGGTTTAATTTCAAAACTTCAGGGACTAAATTTATCAGGAAATGAGTTACTTTCAAATAATGAAAAACTTGAGCAAGAACAATCAGATTTGATGAATCAAATAAATGATCTAAGAAAGAAGAATGAGATATTAAATCAACAACAAGCAAATAACAATCAAATCATTAAAGAATGTCAAGAAAAGATTCAAAATTATGAAGAATCTAATAATGAACTACAAAGAAAGCTCAATGAAGCCATGAACAATAATGAAAATGCTAAGAATCAGATTGATCAATTGAAGAAACTTCTTGAAGAAACAAAACAAAATGATGATAAATTAGTCGAAGAATTAACTAAAGAAATCGAAAAACTTAAGAATGAACAACAAAGCAAAGATCAAAACATAAATGATTTGAGTGCACTCAATAAAGATAAATCTTCTTTAATCCAACAAAATGATGATTTATCAAAGAAGACTCAAGAATTTTATAATTCTCAGCAAAATCAAGCTCAAATGATTGAAGACTTAAAGAAACAAAATGAATCTCTTCAGAAGAATTTAGAAATCAATAACAATGAAACTCAACAAAATATTGATCAACTAACTAAAGATAAATCTGATTTAGCATCAAAACTCCATGATTACGAAGCAAAGATTAATGATCTTAATTCATTAATCAAAGAATTAAATGAAAAGAATGCCATAATTGAAAAGAAGAATTATGAATTCAGTCAACAATTAGAAGTCAACAATGACTTGATTTCAAAGAATAATCAACTTCAACAAACTATTGATCAACTCAATAAAGATAAGACAGTATTATCTAAGCAAATTCAAGATTTAGCAAATAAGAATAACGAAATTACAAATCAATTAAATAACAAAGACAAAATCATTCTTGAAAGCAAACAAAAATCTGATGAGTTGAATCAATCTTTAAGTAATTTGATGAAAGAATTACATACATTAAAGGCAAATAATGATGATCTTAATAGTCAAATCAGTCAATCAAAGCAAAATGAAGAAAATCTTCAATTACAAATTGAGAAACAAAAGAAACTTCTTCAAGATACAAAACAGAATGATAATAAACTCGTTGATGATTTATCAAAAGAAGTTGAAACATTAACGAGTGAAAAACTTAAGAATGAAGAAATTATTAAACAAAACAATGCGAAATATTCAGGAATTTTGAAACAACTTCAACAAAAGAATGAAGAAATCAATAAAGAAAAAGAACAATTCAAACATGATCTTGAAGGAGAAAAGCAAAAGAATGAAAAACTCGTGAATGATTTGAACCAAACCAAAGATAAATTATCACAAGAAAACGAAAAATTAAAGCATTATTTAGTCGCTTTCAAGCAGAACAATGAACAAATCACAGCAGATAACAAACAAAAGGATGAAAATATTCAACAGTTGATGAAACAAATTAATTCTTTGAAATCTCAACTCCAAGAAGATGAAAAACTTAAATCTCAATTTGCAAAAATGAAAGAAAATTATGATTCCTTGATTAACAAGTTGAACCAAGAAAATAAATCATTAACTCATTCATTAAATGAATCTCTAAAACATAATGAAGAATTATCTAAAAATAACGAAAAGCTTCAACAAAATAATGAATTATTATCAAACAAATTGAATCAATTAGGATCTCAAGATAACAACAAACAAAAAGAAATTGAAAATATGAACCAAAAACTTCAAAAAGTATCAAATGAAGGAAAACAAAAAGAAGATCAACTAATTGAAGAAATTAATAATCTAAAATTTTCATTAATTGAACTCCAAAGAAAGAATGAAGACATGAATCAAATGCTTTCAGAAACAAAGAAACAAAATGAAGTTTTATCTGAACAAAACAATGAAATTCAATTATTGAAGAATGAATTAGAAAATCTATCTAAATCCAAAGAAGATGAAATTAATTCATTGAAAGAAGAATATGAAAGAAAGATCAAAGAAAAAGAAGATGAAATTGAACATTTGGAAGAAAATTGCAACAATGAAAAGAAGAAGACAGAATCATATGAAAAGAAATTCGTTGAAGAAAAAGGAGAATATGAATCCAAGCAACAAAACACAGAAACATATATCGAAGAACTCGAAACAGAAATAGAGTTGTTATTGAAAGAAAATGAACAGTTAGATAAAACTAAATATGATTATGATGCAATCCAACACGAATATAACAAAGTTCGTGAAGATTTAGCAAAATTACAAAAAGAACATGATAATTTTGTTGAAGAACATCAACTTGTTGTTGATCAACTTAAGAATCACGAAGAGCTGATTGGTTTCTTGAAACAAGACAAAGAAGAAATTGCAAGCAAACTTGAAGCTCAAGAAGATGAAATTGAAATCATGAAAACTAAAGCAAATGAATCTGAGATGAAAATTGAAGAATATGAAAACTCTCAAGATCAAATAAGAAGTAAATATGAAGAAGAAGCGAATGAAAGTAAGAAACTTGTTTTAAACTATATGAAGAAAGTTCTTCTTCAATTCTTCTTCCAAGAAGGATCTACTAGAGAACAACTTATTCCAATTATATTGAGATTTGTTGAATGCGATGATCAGACGATTCTTCGTGCTATTCGTCATTGGGAACAAAGCAATCAACTTATTAACAAAGCACTTGGTATGTTCAAGTAATTTTTTTTTAATATTTATTCGTTTTTTGCGCTTTTTTTACCCTTGTATGAAAACCTTTTTATTTTATTATTGTTTATTAAACATTATTATTGTTATATAAATTAATGTTTAGTCTTATTTATCGATCAATATGCTTGCAAAAAATATATTATAATTGAAAGTATCGAATTTCATTATGAGAACAAATATATAAATCTTCAAAATATATTAACTTAAATAATGTAATAGGATCATAATTTATGAGAGTACAATTTATTTTTGATGCCACATCAATTTCTTTATCATAAAATGAATCTTTTAAAGTTATTTGACCAGTTATTTGAGTCATAGAATTATTATAAAAATAAGAATTTTCAATTAATAATGAACCGATATAAAGATAAATCAACAAATCAAAGGCAGTATTAGAATGAAACATAGAGTTCCTACATTTTCCATCACAAGTTGTTAAATATACAATTGTTTGAGCCGTAACATTAAATTCAAATATAAACTCATGAAATGATGAAAAACAATCATATCCTGCATAACCTCTCAAATTCAAATCTCAGAAAAAATTACGCTTCCTTTATTTAGCATATAAAAGCAATCTTCGACCGTACATTGATCAAGTTTTGATTCAACAAATGATGCAGCAATTGAACGATTTGCAGATACGCAATGAGTCGAATAAAATTTTTTCGCAAAAAATGGATTTCCCTACATGAAAGTACAAGGGACAGCTAAAGCTAGCATTCATATAATACAAAGAACCTTGTGATATACATCTTTTGAAAATTGCAGTATTAATATCTAATATACTGTTGTTTTCATTAATATAGATACAACCACCGAAGTAACATCTATAACTAATGAACTTACAATGATTGACAACATATGTATTTTATTCAAGAATTTTTACTCATAAATTGTCACTTTTATTTTCTAATGTTAACCAAATTTAAACATAAAACTACAAATCATATTAGTCAAGACTATACGTTAGCATTCATTATTTTTGTTTATTATTATTAATGCTGAAATCTTGTTTTATAATAATCAAACTAGATTCTAAGGGTATGCTTCACTAATATTTTTCGAAGTTAAAAGTAAAAATAGCACATGCAGAAAACAAATAAACGTAAAAATGATAACCTTAATTTATTTTATTTAAAATTGACATATTTTTAAGTGAGAAATTCATCCACTTTATATAAATATCAAGGTAAGAACGAATATCAATCAATCCCTTACGAAGTTCTCCTGAAACCTGGAAATTATGTTTTTGAATTATGGGGTGCCTCAGGAAATGATCATACTACAAGAGGTGCTTATGTCAAAGGTGATGTTGTATTCCGCCATTCCATTCGACTTTATCTACATGTAGGTTCTAAAGCTTATAATTATGCATCCTATCCATCTTATGGCGGAGGAGGTCCAGGCCAAATATCTGGTGGAGGGTCATCAGATATAAGACTACTTCCAGGGGATTTTGGTAATTTTGCTGGTCTGAAAAGCCGAATTATTGTTTCAGCAGGTTCTGGATCTAGTGACGGTTGCTACGAGAGTGGTGGACCTGCAGGCGGTTTAATTGGATATAATAGTACAGGAAACTATGGGAGAGGAGCCACACAAACTTCAGGAGGCGAAGGAGGAATTAAAGGCAAATTTGGATTCGGAGGTGGAAATGGAACTCGATTAAACCATAATGGCTCACCTGATGGGAATGCTGGTGGTGGTGGGGGATATTTTGGCGGCGGAAACTCACACATACCAACAAATTGTGGTTCAGGAGGAGGTAGTTCCTTCATTAGCGGTCATAAGGGCTGTATTGCAGTATTAGAATCATCAGAAAATGAAGAAAATATTAAGTTTTCTGAATCTTTTGATCCCTCAATTCATTACAGTGGAATTCAATTTTATAACACTGTTATGATTGATGGAACTCAGAATATGCCAAATCCCCTTGGTGGTAATGAAACAGGTCATTCAGGAAACGGATTTATTCGAATCACACAAATATATCTCATTGATTGTCCTAGCTATAAATATCGTTGTTTTTCATTACATTTTTCATATTTATTTGTATTTATATTAATAAATACATCCTAAAAAGCGACTTAAGATAGATGGAAAATTTTTAAGCTATTCAAATGAAATAATTTTTTTTAATTTATATTAAAATGAAAGCAGTAATATATGTGAGAGGAAGATTCATGTTAGAATATGAGTTGACTTTGCATGAAAAGCCAGAACAGAAGGAATCTGTTGAGATAATGAGTCCACTTTTCTTGAAGAGAGAAATGAATGTTTTGTTGTTGACGTTTTGGAAGAGAACACCACAGTTAAGAAGTGGACAGTTGTTGAATGCATTATCGCCAACACTTTGGATGCTTGATGGAATTGTGATTTGTTTGAGATGAATGCAGCCTTCAAATGAACTCCGTCCAATATGAGTAACACTAGATTCTGGAAGAAGAACAGATTCTAGATTCACACAACCCATGAATGCACAGTCTTCGACTGAGATGACACCTTCGAGAAGGTAGAAGAACTTCCTCTTAGATGCAGGTGGGTATATGTGCATCTTATGTCGATCACTGCTGTAAAGTGCACCGCTCTCACAAACAAAGTTTTGCGATGTGAATTCGTTGATTTGTGAGAAAGAGAGGCATCCTTCGAAGACACCATAGTCGATTTGTCGAAGATGACTTGTGGCCTTGATGTTGATAGAAACAAGATTAGTACAGTCTTTGAAACACTGAATACCAAGAACTTCAACACTATCTGGAAGATCAACATTGCTGATCATTGTTCCACTAAGACACTGACTGTCAATAACTTTGCAGTTCTTTGGAATTTTGAATGTTTCGATTCCTGAACATCCTTTGAATAAGTTAGGACTCAATGTGTCGAATGATATAATATTGTTCTCGAATTGAACTGATGTAAGACCACAGTTCATGAAACATGCTGATCCACTATCACGAACACAGTTAGGGATAGTGATTGCTCTCAATGGTGTAAGTCCACTGAAACATCCTTGACTGATATTAATCAGTACATCACTATAAAATATGATAGAACTTATCGAACTACAACCTGAAAACGCATCCTTCATAATATTAAGATTCGATGTGGAAGAAAAAGAAATTGAAGGAATTCGACTATAATTCAAGAATGCATCTTGTTTTATTGAAGTTAATGTTGAAGGAAAATTAATTTCATGACTCAATTTAGTATTTTGGAAAGCATATTCATTTATATAAACTAGTTTATTTCCAAATTGAAACTTTGATAAATTTGTACATCTATTAAAGGCATCTTGCTCGATATATTGTAGTTCGGGTTCTCCATCAAAAGTAATTATTCCAATTTTATTTTTATTTTTGAAAGCTCCACTCTTAATTCGTGTCACAGAATGGAGTAAAACAATCTCTGTCATAGCTCCTAGCAACTGTGATAATGTTTTATTACTGTCAGAATAAATAATAAGTTGAGTTGTATCTAAATAAATTGATGAACTAGAGAGTGATAAATTTAGATTAGGATTGCTAGGAAAAGCATTTCCTCCAATATCTTTGAGATTTTCAGGTAACTGAATATTAGTCAATGAGTTACATCCTTGGAAAGCACCTGATCCGATTGTTGTTACATTAGAAGGTATGATAATTGATGTTATTCCAGAATATGAAAAGCAGCTTGCAGATATTGACGTTATATTTGGAGGAAGTTCAATTTGTTTCAGATTTGGAGTCGAATAAAATGAATATGTTTCAATAATTGTTACATTTTGTGGAATGATGATTTCTTTCAAACTCGAAGTTACGAAGCAGCCTTGATGAATTGTTTTAACAGTTGGAAGTATTGTGTATGAATCACCACAGCCTGATGCACAATAGTATATAATTGTTTTATCTTTATCATAAATAGCTTTGAAGTGCTTAATATTCTTTGAACTTTTATTATTATTATTATTATTTATTTATTTTATTTGACATTATGCCAGAAACACCAAGAACTATCTTCTACAATTTTCAATGAAATCATATGATATCTTATAGTTTATATAATAAATCATTTGTTGGTGCTAAATTAAATGTTTCTGTCGAAAGAAACAAATATTTTTTTAATTATCCATGTTCAGATCCTTCAGTATGTACTGACTATAATATCTCTTTAAGAAGAGGAACATATAAGTTTGAACTTTATGGAGCTTCTGGAGGATCAATTACTAAAGATGTTCCACCATTTCTAGACTCAAAGAAAAATTGCTTTCCGGATACTTATGTTAAAGCATTCAATGGCAACACTCACTGTTTCACTCGTTCAAATTTTTGCTACAATCAGTGGTCAAGGACAATATAAAATAATCAATCTTCCTCAATACACAACGCACAATAGTTTCATTAAGAAGAACATGGTTCCAGGAGGTTATGGAGGTGGAGGAAGTTCATCTGGATGGTATACTGGCACTGGAAGTGGTGGCGGTCAAACCGCTGTCAAATTTGTCAATAATGATTTATTTCATAGAGTAATAGTTAGTGGTGGTGGAGGGGGAACAGACGATGGTAATGATGATGATGGAACAGGAGGGGCCGGAGGAAATCTTGTTGCCCAAGGTTGGTTTGCCAATGGAAATTATGTTGGAAATTATTTGGCAAAATCTGACAGTGGATTTTCCTTTGGTCAAGGAGAAGCAGCAATTGATGCTAAATCAAGAAACTCCAAAGGTGTACAGTCATATGATATGAATGATATAGCTGGTGCTGGTGGTGGTTGGTTTGGCGGCTTTGCAAGTCACAGTCCTATTTCTGGAGCTGGGGGAGGTTCATCCTGGGCATTAACTGAAGATGCAGTGATTCCTCCAGGAGTTATTGATGCAAGAGATGAATTTTATGAAAATCCTGTAATGAAGAACTATGCATTCACCAAAACATCAGGTTTTCTATTTTTCGATGTCCAGCATGCAGCAGGTGTTTGGCAAGGAAATGGAAAGCTTATCATAACTTTTTAGGTATTTTTAATAAAAATACCTGTATTGTTATGCATAGATTTTCCATTCTTTTCTACTTTTTTGTTTTTCTATTATAATAAAAGAATATTCATTAAATAAAGTTTACAAAAGAATCTAACTTTAAGGTTATTGATATTAGCTTTCTTGCTTCTCCAGTCAGATTATCAATATTATTTTTATTTGAGATATAAACCCATTAAGTAAATGGAATACATGATGTTGAAATTTGTTGTGAAAATATGGCATCAATCTTTATTCATCTTACGATTTGAAACTAAAATATTTGTATTGCTAATATATGGCTAATTTAAAATCGTATAATTTACCTTTTGGTAATTATTCTTTTAAAAATCCATCATATATAAGGGATGAATATATGCCATTATGCATATTTAAGACATGCAAATTCATGTATCCATGTAAAAATGCCTATGATTGCTCTCCCATCATTTTTTACCTCAATGAAGGTAAATATCTCTTTGAAGTATATGGAGCTCAAGGAGACAATTCTAATGGTTTGGGAGCTTATGGGGGCTATGGAGCTGCAAAAATATCCATAACAAAAATTCTTCCAATATTTTTATTCATTGGGGGTCGAGGAATTAAGACAAAAGGCGGTTATAATGGCGGAGGAGATAGTTCAGGTGGTGGGGCAACAGACTTTAGAGTTTCACCAGCTCTTTTTAATAAACGTTTTCTTATTGCTGGAGGTGGTGGCAGTGAATCTTTCTCATCATATCGTGGACTGGGAAATGGAGGGGGAATCAATAGCGATAAAGATGACGGGTCAAGAGGTGCCAATCAAACATATGGTTTCGAATTTGGTGTTGGACAATATGGTGGTGGTGGTGGACTTTATGGAGGAAACAGAACTTTCGGAGGTTCAGGGTTTGTTTATTCTGATGATAGATTGTGGAGATTATTTTTTGTCGCATATTTGCGCATATTATGACACTTTTCTGACATTTTTCTATAAATTGAGAGCAAAAGTATTCAAAATTTTGTCAAAATATGCGCAAAATTGAGAACTGCGCATATTATGACACACAATTATTTTTGTCCGTTAATGGAAACAAAATCTCTATGCATTGCTTTTCTTCATGTCTTTCGCCTAAAGGTATGTTTAAAACAATATGTATGAGATACGTATTATAAAAGATTTGAAAAACTCACATATTATTATCAAATTTTCAAATTTTTATCGAGAAAATATTGAAATCAAGACGAAAAAATATTGTTCATAACAAAATATTATAAAGATCTAGCATCTACAAGAGTTTCAAAGAAAAACAACCAACTTAAATTTTCTACTTCAAAAATAAGAACATCTTTCAAGTGTGACAAGCAAAAAAAGAATACATACGAATAGTTCAATTTGAAATGAATGATATGTTTATGTATAAGCTAGATTTACCTACATTCGATAATTGCTAAACGTTCATAACTTTGCGAGATATTAAAGAGAATTTATCGCTATTTACGTTATTTTCGACAATATATCAATATACGGCGATTGTTAAGTGAGTAACTGAGGAAAAAATAAAAGATTTGATTAATCTGAAGATCAAAAGAAGATAACAAGAGAAAAATATGAATAAATAAATGAATAATAAATAGAAAAAAGAAAGAAAAATATTGAAGATGATTAAATGAAGTTATTATAGGAAAATTAAAAAATATTACTAAAATTAAAGATATCTGACATGTTTACATATCTAATAATAATATATTTGTCATTTAAATCTATTTTGAATCATAGTAAACTATGATTGTCGTATGATTTAAAAGAATCTCTAAATTTGCTTACTAAAATTAAAGATATCTGACATGTTTACATATCTAATAATAATATATTTGTCATTTAAATCTATTTTGAATCATAATAAACTATGATTGTCGTATGATTTAAAAGAATCTCTAAATATCAAGTCAATTTCTTATAAAATTGTTATCCATCTCTTACATTTTTTCATAATTACTACCTATATTATCAATCTCAACGATGACAATATCTTGTTATCAATATATTAAATTTAATTTATAACTTAACATTCAATGTTTCCATCTATTCTTTCCATATATTAAATTCTAAAAACACTTTAACAATTGTTCAATAAACACAATATTTATAACATTTAAAAATATTTCAATTGAATACATCTGATTCATTTAATGTAAATTCTGTGATTTTTCCATCTTCATCATTTTCTAAGTTTATTTTAATTGAATCATTTATCTCTGAATCATTCCTGTTCATAAATTTCTCAATTTCAATATCACGATAATCAATATCTCCTGGATGAAATTGATTTTTGTATTTGTCAATTTCTTCTTTTGGTATAGGGTGTCCAAAGGTGCGTTTAGCACAGCGCTCTATATGAGACTATTAAAGGAGATATATGCTGATTATAAATATATAATAAAAAATATGAATATATGTATATGATGAGTATGTTGTATTTTGGCGCCATGCCGGAATATAAAATGAATTTTGAGACAAGAGGCGGTTTCGCATGAAATTTTGGCGGGATTTTTTTCATTTTTTTAATGAATCATAAAGAAAACATCCTCGCTCTTGCAAAAAAATGCAAAGACTGTAAAAAATCTACGAGACATTGGTAAAATGCTTCGGTATGGATGCTCCTAGCTATTCCACTGTAACGTATCATGTTAGGATGTATCACTTCATGAACAAAAAGGAGTGTGGTAGAATTTACGAAAAAGTGACACTAGAAAAGTGACACTTAACCTTAAATTTTCAAACACTATTTTTTGATTGTATTTTGTTATTTATATATTTATATATATGTATATTTATATATTGTTATATTTATATATGTATATATTTATATATGTATATATTTATATATGTATATATTTATATATGTATATATTTATATATGTATATATTTATATATGTATATATTTATATATGTATATATTTATATATGTATATATTTATATATGTATATATTTATATATGTATATATTTATATATGTATATATTTATATATGTATATATTTATATATGTATATATTTATATATGTATATATTTATATATGTATATATTTATATATGTATATATTTATATATGTATATATTTATATATGTATATATTTATATATGTATATATTTATATATGTATATATTTATATATGTATATATTTATATATGTATATATTTATATATGTATATATTTATATATGTATATATTTATATATGTATATATTTATATATGTATATATTTATATATGTATATATTTATATATGTATATATTTATATATGTATATATTTATATATGTATATATTTATATATTTATATATGTATATATTTATATATTTATATATGTATATATTTATATATGTATATATTTATATATGTATATATGTATATATGTATATATGTATATATTTATTAGAAACTGCTTCATGCTGTGTTGAGTATTGTTGAATTGGAAACTGCTTCATGCTGCATTGAGTATTGTTGAATAATTTGAAGTAGTGGTTTTTGAAATCAGCACCCCTATGAGAGCGCTGGCGACCGAAACACCACTAGTAAGATTGTGTATTAGAAACTGCTTCATGCTGTGTTGAGTAAGCTTCGATGTCTTTGTAGGATAGCTTTCTGAGAGCGAAACAAGATAGTGTTGAAAAAAAAATTTTGAAAATCTGAGAGACTGTGCAAGAGCCAACGACCAAAACACTACCAGTAAGATACAGCAGTAGTAGCTGCTTCATGCTGCATTGAGTATTGTTGAATAATTTGAAGTAGTGGTTTTTGAAATCAGCACCCCTATGAGAGCGCTGGCGACCGAAACACCACTAGTAAGATTGTGTATTAGAAACTGCTTCATGCTGTGTTGAGTAAGCTTCGATGTCTTTGTAGGATAGCTTTCTGAGAGCGAAACAAGATAGTGTTGAAAAAAAAATTTTGAAAATCTGAGAGACTGTGCAAGAGCCAACGACCAAAACACTACCAGTAAGATACAGCAGTAGTAGCTGCTTCATGCTGCATTGAGTATTGTTGAATAATTTGAAGTAGTGGTTTTTGAAATCAGCACCCCTATGAGAGCGCTGGCGACCGAAAACACCACTAGTAAGATTGTGTATTAGAAACTGCTTCATGCTGTGTTGAGTAAGCTTCGATGTCTTTGTAGGATAGCTTTCTGAGAGCGAAACAAGATAGTGTTGAAAAAAAAATTTTGAAAATCTGAGAGACTGTGCAAGAGCCAACGACCAAAACACTACCAGTAAGATACAGCAGTAGTAGCTGCTTCATGCTGCATTGAGTATTGTTGAATAATTTGAAGTAGTGGTTTTTGAAATCAGCACCCCTATGAGAGCGCTGGCGACCGAAACACCACTAGTAAGATTGTGTATTAGAAACTGCTTCATGCTGTGTTGAGTAAGCTTCGATGTCTTTATCAGACCACCTTTAAATTAACCACTCACATTCTCACTGTGGTCCATCTAAAATTTGTAAGCTTTATGACATAAAATTATATTATATGCAGGATCCCACCTATTACTTAATCTTTTTGGAATAAATGTTTTTATAATTTATCGATTGATTGTAATTTTTTGTATAAAAAAAGTTTTTTATTTATATTAAAAATATATTCGGTTAATGATATTATCTTATAATTTGTAAATAAATCTAGTAATAAAATAACTTTAATAGTTGGTGTCACTTTTTCGAAAATTCTGGTTTTTTCTAAAATGCTTCGGTATGGATGCTCCTAGCTATTCCACTGTAACGTATCATGTTAGGATGTATCACTTCATGAACAAAAAGGCGCCCATCATAAAAATTGACAAAAAATCGCCGGATCAAAGAAAAATCAAAGCAATTCTTCAAGCGCTAGATGAAGACCCAAGAGCATCACTCAGAAGGATAGAGGAGATGACAAAGATACCAAGTACAACAGTCAGTTATTATCTGCACAATTATTTGAACTACAAACTAGCGTATACACGTTGGGTTCCGCACAACCTTAA